CCAACAGCAAGGCGAAGAAGCCTTTATAAACCTCTTTTCCACCAACCCAGGTGAGACAGAGAACCCAACTTCTTTTACTTCTTCCAAAAGCAGGTAGAGAACCTAACTCCTTTTGCTTCATTTTGAAGCAGGCAGAGAACCTTGATCAGATGCTGAAGTAGACCTCTCTAGAACCCCCAAGGAACTAAAGATGATGACTGGAGAAGATGATGACGAATCCTTGCTTGGAGAAATCTTTGGGAAACCCTTCATAAACTCCCTCATAAGTACCTCTCTCTCTCCATTATTTTCCCTCTCGTTTTAGCTCTCTCAGGTCAAAACAGCAGCAAAAGATTATCTTTTGGGTAGAATAAGAGGTCTTAAATAGAAGAGCTTCAGAATAGCTCTTAATTATAACAAATCGACTTTATCATCCAGGATGATATAAATATTGTCATGTACGATCATTACAAATTAAGTTCAATCAGCTAGGACAATTTGAAATGATTAGAAGGATTTTGTTCATATTATCCAAGCCGATAGTATATCATCATATATGACTAGTACAAATCATTGAATATCACCCAGAACATTGCCCTAAATAGAAGCTGGCCAATGTTCGATTGTCTAGGAATAACTAAGGTTTTTGAACTGATCGTCCTAGCCGATCCTACGATTATCCAAGATGATATGATCGAGCAATCAAATCTTAATTACTTTTTTTAATTACCATATTAATTTAGGAATAATTATGTTGCATCGTCCATGATGATGTCCAAAAATAAAAGCTACCTAAATAAATATGACAGTTGATTCTTTCTGATTTGAGTCTATCGTCTCGATCGATATGAATATCATCACGGCTGCCTTAACCAGGATGTCCTAATTTGGGTTTCTATTTTTAACTGAATGCCCAAACTGATTTATAGATCATTCAGATGATGTGAACAAAAATAAAAAACTCTAAAACAGACAAAAAAATTCCCCAAGTGTATGTGCAAGGTTACTTAGAATCAGGAACCACATCATTTATAATAGACTCAAGAAAAAAAGTTTACAAACTGACTCAAACATAGTCTACCCAATCTTGAGTTGGTTCAAATTGCAATTTGATTATGTGGACCTGAAATGTTAGTAGGCAAGAGAGTCGTAGAGAAATAGAAGTGTTTACTATCATCAAAATTTTATTTCCTAAAAATAGATTTGCAATAGTGGGATCGTTTATGACGATATGATCAAACAATTAAACCTTAATTGCTTTCCTTAATTATTAAATTAATTTAGATATACTTATACTGCATCATCCAAGATGATGTTCAAAAATAAAAGCCACCTAAATAGATCTAGAGGCTGATTCTTTCAGATTTGAGCCTATCATCCCGGCTGATGAAATATCGTCCAAGATGATGCGCTTAATGACGGCTGCCTTAACTAGGATGCACTAATTATTGTATAGCCATTGATTATGTTAAACTTTAGAGCCATTTAATTTCATATGACATTTTATATGGCTATATAGGTGTAATGCTTTCTTTTGATGGTGTAGCCTTGTATGTTGCTTCTTTTGGCTATAAATATGTAGCCAACACTTGTAATAGATAGATTTGAAAGATGAATAATATTTGAGTAGTTTTACTCTTTTTGGGTTTATGTATCTTGAAAGATTTTAGGTGGTGATCCCTCTCCCAAGGAGTTCTTGGTCACAGTCACTGGATCGTCGATGTGGATTCGTTGAGCCCATCCCGTTCGATGTCATTTGGTATCAGAGCTGGCAAGTTGCTCGTGTTCTTATCCGTAGCCATGTCGCCTCTGCCACTGGCGTCATTTGGTGGCGAATCAGCCTTGAAAGTGGAACCGATTCGGTGGCTAATCTGTCTCATTTGGTGTTCGGTGGCGAAGCCGAAGCAGTGACTGTAGTTCTTCCTCCACGGTGCTGACATTCACCTTTTATTTGTTCTTGGGTGCGGACCGCAAGATAGCAACCTCAAGAATTTTTTTTTACCGGATTCCTTCTGCTATACCTTCTTCAAACAATCTGAACAGCAAGGACTTCCTCCCGCAAGGCTACTGTCAACTTTCTTATTCTCCAAACAGCTACTGCGGCTATAATTTTAGTTGTACTGCACTTTTTCAGTTCTTTGAAGTACAGAGAAGGGTGATTGTCCAACGTTATTTTTGAAGATTCAGATCTTTTTGTGTGTTCACCCATCACAAAAAAAACCACCAAATGTGGCTGTCCAATTGATAGCAGCCATCCACACAACCCGCAGGAACCAACTGGTTATTCTACTACTGTCTATTTTCTTCCAATGTCATCAGAACTGTTGAGTTTCACAACCGATCTTTATTGTGTTAAATAAGTTCTTGAATAATAGCATAAGATGCCTTCTAGATAGACGTTGCAAGGATCACGTTAAGATGCATAAATAGAGTATCTTCAACAAGAAATTATTCGACTCAAATGACAGTTGTCAAGGCTTGAATGGAGGACTGACTGGAGCACCCTCGCGCAAAGACTTTGATGGTTTCCAATTGCTGGACAATTATGCTTCCATGACGGATTCAAGATCCTTTGTTCCAACTAAATCCTTAGAAATCGACGATGACGACGAGGGCATTGCAGATGATCAGATCTCTTCCACCCCACCCTCATTTGAGTTCAACTTCGAAGAATTTGAAGATTCATTGCTGAAATCGTCATCTTTGCCTATCTTTGATGAACCTGTGTATGATGTGTAAGATGATGACTTGTTCTTTGAAGTTCTTGATGTTGATACGCCTGTAAATAATGATGATAAGAGCAAGCCAATTCAAGAGGTTATTGCAGAAAAGAATAATGGTGGAGACAAATGCACTGGAAATGTTAATGCCATAATTCTTGCATTTGAATATGTTCATGATGGCTGGGATGTTACTGGACTCAAGGAAGGAGACAATGTTCTTCCTATCTTCACAGGCGAATGTAAGGAATGTGTGCATTGTAAATCAGAAAAGAATAATATGTGTGATTTGTTTTGGATTAATACTGATGGAAGTGTAATGTTAAGTGAGGGAAGATCAAGATTTATAGGAAAAACAACTTCCATCCACTACTTCCTCGGAACTTATACCTTTCGTGAATATACAGTAGTTGATGATGTCTGTCTTGCCAAGCTTGATCCATCTAGTCCTAAAGAAAAAGTTTGTATTCTCGGTTGTGGTATTGCCATGGGGTTGGGGGCAGCGCTAAACGTTGCAAAGTCAAAAATAAGATCCAATGTAACCATTTTTGGTATAAATGAGTTTTTGAATCCCAAGGATTATAATAAGCCAATTCCATCTACTTATGCTACTATTGAGAAATTAAAGATTGGCAGTCAAATTGATATCGGGTGGAAATATTCAGATCGATTTAGCCAACCAAATCCGCCTCCTTGTGGCGGCCAACCGGACATATTCATATGAGTCTGAAGTTCCTCCTACCCCGGTAGAATGACCCCGGAGCTAAGCCATTGATTATGTTAAATTTCAGAGCCATTTAATTTCATACGACATTTTGTATGACTATATAGGTGTAATGCTTTCTTTTGTTGGTGTAGCCTAGTATGTTGCTTCTTTTGGCTATAAATATATAGCCAACACTTGTAATAGATAGATTTGGAAGATGAATAATATTTGAGTATTTTTACTAATTTTAGGTTTCTGTATCCTGAAGGATTTCAGGTGGTGATCCCTCTCCCAAGAAGTAGTTCTTGGTCACGGTCACTGGATCGTCGACCTGGATTCGTCGAGCCCATCTTGTCCGGTGTCATTCCAAGCTTCTTGTGGTTAATCAATTTTGGTCCTCCATCATAAAATCTTAGCAGAAAATCATTAAATAGCAAAAAGAAAGAAAAAAAATCTTATTACTAAATCATTAATAAATATACAGAGTTCATGAGGCTAACACCAATCATAATAAAAATAAATTTGGGTAGGAGTAATTTTCTCTCTAAGAATAACGTTTAGATAAATAAGATACACAAAGAGGAAAAATTAAAGGGCATGTAATGTTTAAATTTTTTGAAATTTTTGCTGTAAAATGAATGCAAACAAACCTAGTCAAGCCGACGAGGTCTTTATTTCCATATGATTCCTTTTTGTTCCAATCCATTTCTCGCATGAGGAAGGAAAATGGTCTGATCTTGCCAAGCCAAACAAATTGAGTTTACTTAAAAGCCCAAACCAAATTTATTTACTTGTTTCAAACACATTTGAGATCAAGTTCAACAAATTCATCAAGCATTCATAAACTACAGAGAAACCTTCACACTCTGATTTAAAAGCTAATAGAATAAATCATAAATTAAGCTTCGTTTGGAACAGTTTTTTGTCATCATTTTTTTAACTATTTAAAAAAAAATTATACTTAAAAATTCCTTTAAAAACAGCAAAGAAACTATCTCAAAATTAAGACAAATTAAACTCCTCTTCAGTCTCTTTCAAAAATAAACTTAAACATGCACACACTTTTTAAATCATCAAAAAGCTAAACAAACAATATTAAATAGAATCCATAATCCTTCGTGAACATTCTACCTTGCCATTTCACATAAGCCAATTCAAGAGCTAACAGTAACACAAAGTTGAAAGTTTCTTTCTCTAGCTATTGTCCGCAAAAAATTTCTATTAAAACTTTGTTCAATCTCTTCAAAAAAACTCGAGATACATAAATATAAAAATTCCCATAACCTATGTGATTCTTTCACAAAAACTTTCTAAGAATCAAAACTGGGAATAATCAACAGACTCACTCACTTCATAGTATCAAAACTGAAGCAACAAACACCTCAACGTTTTCTACTGGAAACAAAACTGCAAAGCAAACAATATGATAACCTATTCGATTCCTTGGTTAAAAGTCTCAAAGAATCAAAACTGGAATCCCTTACTCACTCATTCTATAGTTTCAAAACTGCATCAACAAACACCTTAGGAGATAAGGTTGATGCGAGAAATAAAAAATAGTTAATAATCAGAATATCTTGATATAACTTTTTTTCCTATAGAATATCCTTGCCTCTTTTATCACCATAAGACTTCTTAGGCCAAGAAGTACTGGAACCTGAACTGGAACCTGAACTATAATCCCCAAAGTTTAGCATGACTTCTGATGTAAAGTAATCTTGTGAAGAACTAGCAAAAGAAATCGTCGAAGCTTGGGAATCATAAAGCACTAAATCAGAAGCAGTAATTGAGCTTTGATCATTCTGCTGTGATATTACACCTCTATTATTCAGGAATAAATTACCGTTTGGAACTTTTTCAGGGAAATTGAGCTTTGCTTTTTTGCCTTTGAACTTCAGAGCAGCGTTATCATAAGCCATGGCTGCGTCTTCTGCGGTTTCGAACGTGCCTAACCAAACTCTGGCTGCTTTGTTTGGGTCTCGGATTTCTGCTGCCCATTTTCCCCATGGCCTTTGCCTGACACCTCTGAAGTGTCTTTTCTTCTCCTTCTCGTGGCCTTCATGCATGTTTCACGTATCCACGTAAAAAAAAAAGCGTAATTATATATATGGAAGAATATTTTAAGATTTAAAATTAAATAAAACAGTTTTACATAAGATCAAGAATACTTTATACATGTATGACTTTTTTCTATTTTTTGTGATAATTCGATCGTTGAACTCTGGTGGGTGAAATGTTTAATTCGGCTTAATAAGTCGGACTCTAATTAATCTGACAAAAATATAACTAATTCAAATATGATATATTAATTAAATTAAACAGGATAAGAAGCTTAACCCAAATCCAACCTAACCCAACGTGGGAAACAATTAGTATTTTTATTAAATAAAACAGGATAAAAAGGATTCATTTGAGACGTTTTCTTTTTTCTTATTTAAGTAGTTTTTAAGTACAAATATTAAAATTTTATATTAAAAAATTGTTTTAAGAAGCATTGAGAACATTGTCCCAAGGCTTCGTTTGGGACTCTTTTGGACCACTACTTTTTCTTGATTTTAAAATATTTTTATAAAAAAAATATAACATTTCAATTCAAACTCAGAATCCGACCCAACATGACACAAGTAATACTAAAGTTGTATTAGATTGATATCAATTCTATCCAAAATTAGTACATTTATCTAATTTAGACATGCTACTTCAAAAATTATAATTAACACTAGTTTTTATTAAACAAAGAAAATAGAAAAAAATTATGTAAGGATATCCTCATATAATTTACATCAGAATAAATTTGCTTAAAAATTAGTGTTGTATTTCAATACTTTATATTGTACTAATCTCAAAATAAATTTAATAATGTTTCAAACTCAATATAATACAAATCATATCAAAATATCCTAACTCAACTTTTTTTTTTAGAAAAATAGTTGACTTAAATGCATCAAATTATTATTTAACTAAAATATTGAAAGCTTTCTTTCTCATGATAATTGTGTTTCATAAATAGTTACTAGAATAAGGGGCGGAATCAGCTTTAATTTTTCGGGGGTAAAAAGTTTAGATGTTTTTTTTTTTCCTTGAAGTCGGCTCGACCCCTATTTGTTCATATTCTTGATTATTGTACGTTTCGCGTATACGCCGGGGTCCAAGGGGGCAGCGCTCCCTAGCGGGGTTCGACTTGCCCAGTTAGTGCCCCTTGGTGGGGTTCAACCCCTATTTGTTAATATCCTTTTAAATTCTCCTTATTATTTCTCTTTGTATTTGGTTCATCGTTTGATTATATTGGGCAATTGCCTAAAAGCCATAATATTTTAAAACATTTATTATAATGTCAGCATATCCTTATATATAATTTATATCATAATGAATTTGCTTAAAAAATAGTTTTGTGTTTCAATACTTTATATTGTACTAATCTCAAAATAAAATTAATAATTTTTGAAACTCATTATAATACAAATCATATCAAAATATCCTAACTCAACTTTTTTTATATAGAAAAATAGTTGAGTTAAATGCATCAAACTATTATTTGACTCAAATATTGAAACCTTTCTTTCTCATTACAATTGTGATTCATAAATAGTTACTAGAATAAGGGGCGAATCAAGCCTTAATTTTCGAAGGGGGGCAAAATGTGTAAAGATTTTTTTTGCCTTAAATTCCGCTCGGCCCCTATTTATTCATATCCTTGATCTTTGTAAGTTTCGCAGATATGTTGGGGGTTCAAGGGGGCAGTGCCCCTTGTAGGGGTTCAACCCCTATTTGTTAATATCCTTTTAAATTCTCCTTATTATTTCTCTTTGTATTTGGTTCATCGTTTGATTGTGTTGGACAATTGCCTAAAAATCATAGTATTTTAAACTATTAGGGGGAGGGGGGGGGGGGGCAATTGCCTACAAATCCATGTAATAAAGACTAAAAAGTAAATGTAGTGGGACAAATTATCTACATAACCATTAATAAAAACAATTTAATTTTTTTAGGGGAGCAATTGCCCCTCTCGGCATAAGGTGGATCCGCCCTTGACTAGAATTAGGTTTCATTTGTGAGAGTTTTCTTGCCGCTTTATAAAGTAGTTGTATAGAAAATAATTTATAAAGTTATGAAAAGTAGTTTTCTAGCATAATTTGTTTGAAAGCACTAAAAAAATAACAACCAAATAGAAATTTTAATTGCTGCCAGGAAAATAAAAAAGTAAGAAAGTTGCCTCAAATGAAGATTTAGGCTTTGTTTGAGATGATTTTTTTTACTGCATTTTAAAATAATTTTTTAGTATAAAAATTTTATTTTTTTAACTAAAAAACTTCTTAAGAAAGCCATCCCAAAGGAAGTCTTAGAATAAAGATAATTAATTATCTTTCTACCTTGTGCTTCAGAAGGCAAATCTGTTGCTGAGTTTATGGCTTCACCGGCGGCCAGCTCGCCTGCCCCAGCGCCACCACCTCCTATCACGTGAGCGAGGGCAGACACCATAGCAGAGGTGTCGTATTCCGCACGTGAGGGCGTGTAGTGAGGGAAATTAAACTCATATTCTTCTTCCTTCCCTCTCATCTTCGTAATCGAACGAACTCTCTTCCCGCCTCAAATGAACATTTTATAGAAAGAGAAAGTGAGTAATCGTCAATATTTTAAAATTATTTCCCTGTTTTGTAAAATTTATAATTTGACACTTAATTTTATTTTGAAAATTTGCGAGCGTGTGGTCGACTCTAATGAGGCACGAGTTTCGTACTTTTGAGTTTCAAATATGATAATTTAATGAATTTTATTAATTTTTTAATTTTGCCTTCTTAGACTTTGATTTTGACAATCTCATAGCTGGCTGTTTGCGACTGAATCTTATTGATACTTTCAATAACTATTTATGTAGAAAATAAACTTATACATCCTATTTCTTGCTGATTTTTTTTCTTAAAATTATTTTAAAATGAATGTAATAAATAAATAAATTTAATTATGAGTTTTTTAATAAAAAATTATGATTGCTGTCCTCAAATTTTATTCGTCTCGGGTTGGATCTGGCGCCATTCATTCTAACTGATGATCTTTCTGCCTTCATTGTCTTATAGAAGCTCTCAAATAGATCGCTAAAGGAGTCACCATAATAGGGATTCATGTTTCTAAGTTGTTCTTGATGCATTCTAACTGCTCGGGACAAATGATTTGATTATAATTACTATATCTAAAGCAAAGTATAATCTTTGGCAATATAGCATACCATTTTAGAAAGCCCAAGCAATTCGAATGATTCATCGCATTAGAGTTTTTTTTCATTGTGTTAAAAAAGTCTAGTATGATCTTGTCTTCTTAGTCTCTCTATAGGAAATTTGAGAAACCATGATTAATGCTTTGGTGTATCATTTGCCTATTCTTTTTAGTATTTGACAATTATATTTATGCCATTATCTTTATATCTTTTATTCATTATTCTGGTTCTATCAATAGAAAATAGCTTATTTGATGAATTGATCACTTTAGAGCTCAATATTTTACTCATCATTGTCTTTTTGAATTCTATCATTATCTTTCATGCCATTTCTAGCTAGTTTAATTTAGAAAATATATTACAATAATATTTCTTTAGGGCACAACCCTAACATATCTTTCATGCCATTTCTAGCTAGTTTAATTATTGTCTTCTTTAGTCATCACTTGAATCATGCCATCTTCACTTACACTAACTAGACCTTCATAACAAGGTCCGGGGGCACCTCCTGCTTCAATTAATCGGATTTGGCAATACAATTCAAGTGAGTATATTAAGTTGGTTATATCACTTTCATACTTAATAAGTCTCTCTAGAGTGTCATTATTAGAGAAATAGATAAAGGCTTCATGTAAATATTTATTCTATTCTCAATCAGATGATTGTCTTTCTAATTCTTTATCTAAATCTATTAAAAATTTATTTATTTATTTATTTTGCACTTCTATAAATTTTGAAAAATTTCACATTAAATAATCAAATAATTTTTGCATTGTGCTTGTCTTATAACTAATAAAATAGCTTAAAAATTCATCATGATCAAACTTTGATCAGAATTTATCAATAAATTCTAATGTTCTTTTTAAATGAAACCATCATTTTTTAAAAAAAGAGTTTATAATAATTGTTGCGTGTTAGAAAATACGCAGCGGTAGAGTTTGTAAATTTGCGTCCGAGCGTTGCACGTAAGTTTAACACACAAACAGAAAAGAGAGGTGAACACCGAGAGTTTTTACGTGGAAAACCCAAAAAGGGAAAAAACCACGGGGCCTTGCCCAGCTGCAAATTTCCACCAGTGTTTTCGTAGATTACAAATGGCGGATTTCGTCCCACAAGTTGGGATAATCCAAATACAATTTGTTTCTTCCACGAAATTTACAAAATTCTGTGAATTCCTGGCGTTTCCTGAAAATCTAGCAGAGTTCTGGCGTCTTCAGGCGGCAGGAAAAGCTCCGGCGGCGGTGGTCGAGGAGGTGAGGAATCTCCTATTCCCCTTTCTCCTTCTCTATCTCTTCTTCTTCTCTCTCTTCACTTGAGTCCCTTTGGTGTAGAATGAGGGCTCTATTTATAGTTTTTCTGGAGTGGCATAGCCCGTAAATAGGCGTGAGATCAA